CTCCTTTGCCTCCTCCTCCTCCTCCTCCATCTCCTCCTCTTCCTCCTCCTTCTCCTCCTCTTCCTCCTCCTCCTCCTCCTTCTCCTCCTCTTCCTCCGCCTCCTCCTCTGCCTCCTCCAACGCCTCCTCTCCTGCAAGCGCCAGAAAAAGGTCGACACACCCCTGCGCGCCCCCACACACTCTGAGCACGATGCGCGCCGGCACCACCCGGAAGAGCTCCACGACGAACCGGTAGCTGACCCTCACCGCCGCCTGGCCCACAGCCCGGCCGTCCGCCACGGCGGCCCGCAGCTGGGCCGCCCGGCCGGCGCCGGCGCGGTCCGCGCCCAGCGCGGTCCGCAGCTGGCGGGCAGTGGCCTTTGTGTCGGGCGGGTGGTAATGGGGGGTGACCCAAATTGGGGATGAAAACAAAAAGCCCTGCAGGAACCATGTGGGACCCCTGTTGGAGCCAGCAGAGGCCCAAAGGGGCCCTAAAGGGCCGTTTCAAAACGTCCCCCCCGCCCCCCACCATTTTGACCCCCCCTCCCCCCATTACCACCCGCCCGAATGTGGAGGGTCACGCTCAGCTCCTGGCCCCAGCAGGTGGCCAAGGCGCTCGCGGCGCGCGGCGCGGCCTCCTCGCCGAGCAGGGCCGCCTCGCCCCGCGCCCGCCCCCGCGCAAGTGCCGCAGGGCCGCGTGCCGGCCGCCTGTCTCGAGCGCCAGCGGCACCGTGCCCCGCGGGGCGGCGGGGTTGATTGGCCTGGTTTCCACCACCACCACCATAACTTGGAGGGGGGAGGGGGTCCTCCTCCCCCTCTTCTTATTCCTCCTCCTCCTCCTCCTCCTCCTTCTCCTCCTCCTCCTCCTCCTCATCCTCCTCCTCTTCCTCCCCCTCCTCCTTCTCGTCCTCCTCACCCTCCACCTCATTCCCCCCTCCAACTTATGGTGGTGGTGGTGGAAAACAGGCCCATCAGGGGGAACGCCCACGCTTGTCGGCCTCCGCCTCGGCGTTGGCCGCGCCGTCGCGTCCAGCCGCGGCTGCCAGCGCAGCGTCGCCACCGAGCACGCAGCAGCGCACGGCGACGTCGGGATACGGGCGGGGGTAACTCGCCCGCTGCACCGCGAGACCGAAGATGGCTTCCACTCTCTCTCTCTCCCTCTCCCTCGCTTTCTCTCACTCTGCAGCGCGGCCCCGCAGCTGCTGCAGGTGCCCGCCGTTGCGCCCGCCCGCGCGCGTCGCGGCCCCCGGCAGCGCCAGCGCCAGCGGACCTACGAGGGGACCTGGCACCTGCTGCCCGACACGGAAGCCGCACTCCGCACGCGTGCGGCCCCCTGGCGCGCTCGAGGTCGCCGCGAAGCCGCCACCGCGGGCGCAGCGCCAGGCGGGGGCGGGCCTGGTCTCCGAGATGCTCGCCGCAGCGCTGCCCCGCGCGTTCCCCGGGTCTGCGCGGCGTTGCAAGTCGCCCCAGAGGGGGCCGCGGCCTGGCCGAGCAGCGCCCGCGCCGTGCTGCAGTAGTCGGCGTCGTCGAGCCGCTGGGCCTCCTCCTCCTCCTCCTCCTCCTCCTCCTCCTCCTCCTCCTCCTCCTCCTCCTCCTCCTCCCCCTCCTTCTCATCTTCCTCCTCCTCCTGATCCTCCTGCTTCTCCTCCTCCTTATCCTCCTCCCTCCTCCATCGCGCACGCACTCCCTTCCGCCCCGCCCTCTTTCCTGCGGCACTCACGCCACCTGCGCCGTTCCCGCAACCAGCCAGGCTCCGCGTCCCCGGGCCACCCCATCAGGCAACGCGCCGCCTCCGCCAGCATTTAAAGGGGGGAGGAAGGGGGGAGGGAGCGGGGGGCTGGCGGGAGGGGGGCGGTGGACAGGGGGAGGTGGAGAAGGGAGATGCATGTGGAATCTTTGAGCTGGGGCCGTCTGGGGCTCTCTTCAGCCCACTTGGACCGTCTTCGGGGTATATTGGGGAGCATCCTGGAGGCATCATGGGGGCCTCCTGGGCCCTCGTGAGCCGTCTCGGGGCCCTTTGGGGGCTAACTTGGTCTGCCTTTGGGCCATCTTGGGACTCTCTTTCTCTGAGGTTGTCTTTGAACCCCATCACGGCCCCAAAAGAGCCGTCCTGGAAACCTCTTGCGGCGTCCTTGGTCCGCGATTTTCGCAGCGCTTCCTGCTCTTGCTGATGATTGGAGTCGTTTACGGCTGCTTGCTGCTGCTTGGTGTCACTTGATGCTGCCTGCCGCTGCGTATTGCGGGCTGCTGCTATTCAACTGGGCATTTGTTCTGCACCTCTTGAGGCCTCTCGTTGAGCCTCTCGTTCGCTTCTTGCAGCCTGGCGTGGCCTGCAAACCAATCTCGAAGCTTGCTAAACCGTTTCGCGACCGCGGGGCCGTCTGGGGGCTCTGCCTGAACCACCCTGGAACGTCCATGGGCGCGCCGTGGAAGGCAATATGTCGGCTCTGTAGGCTCATTTTGGACTCACCTGCAGGCCAACTTGGAAGACAACTGGGCTGTGTCGGGTGGTCCTTGTGGCCCGCATGGGCAGCCGTTGATCACCGTGGAACTCGCTCGAAGACGTGCTGAGCAGACGAACGGCACGCGCCCAAAAACGTGGGAGTATTCGACGCGCACGTCCCCACATCTCACTTCCTGGCACGCCCGGCTGTAGGTGTACAGGCGAGAGAGAAAGAGTGAGAAAGAGAGAGAGAGACTAAATGACTAAATGACTGCAAGAGTACCTTGTCACATGACTGCTTGACAGCACGGGCGCGCGCGCGCCCGCCTGGAACTGGTCGAGCAGCGAGTGGCCGCCGCTCTATCGGGAGGGGGCCGTGCCCGAGGAGAGAGAAAAAGCGAGAGAGAGTCCGAGTGGACGACGGGTGCGACGGCGGCGGCGGCTACGATGGGGGACGACGACAGAGACAACTCACAGACCGGCGGCGAGCAGCCCCCCTCCCGCCTCCTGCCCCTTGCTGCCCGCGCTACCCCCTCCTTGCTCTTCCTCCCGCCTCCCTCCTCCCTCCTCCTGCGTCCTCCTCCTTACTCCTCCTCCTCCTCCTCCTCCTCCTCCTCCTCCTCCTTCTCCTCCTTCTCCTCCTCCTCCCCCCTCCTCCCCCCCCTCACTCCTCCTCCTCCCCCCCTCCTCCTCCTCCTCCTCCTCCCTCCTCCCGCCTCCCCTCTCCCTCCTCCTGCGCCCTCCTCCTTCCTCTTCCGTCCTCCCTCCTCCCTTCTGGCGGCCGTCCGTCCGTCTCCTCACATGGAGGTGGTCACCGGGCTCGGCAGAGACGGGAGTCGGAGGTGCCAAAGCGAGCGCCTCGCTCCGTGTAGTACCCCCCGCTCTGGCTGCCTGGGGTGCTGAAGCCAACGCCTCGCTCGGGACATCCTCACAGTCTTTTCTGAAAGCACCGACGCGCAAGCCACCCAAAAGGCAACCCCCCTGAGACATCCCCACTCAATCGGGGTGCGAACGGGCAACTGTCCTACCCCTTGGCGGCTCCCACTTGGAGTGCTGAAACCCGCGCCTCACCAGAGACCCTCACAATATGGTGTGAAACACCTAAGGCTAATCCTCCAAACAGGCAAACCGCCTGCCACATCCCCACAATCTGGGCGCGAACGGGCAAATGTGTCCTACCCTCTGGCGGCTCCTTCTTGGGATACTGAAGCCAGCGCCTCGCTCAAGACATGCTCGCAAATTGAATAGGAAGAGACCCTGAGTATGAGTGGTCCGTGCGGATGAGTCTGAGTGTGAGTGCGTCTGGGTGTGAGTGACTCTGAGTGTGCAGGAGGCTGAAGGTTAGAAATGGGTCTGAGTGTGAGAGCACCTCGCCGGCTGCATCGCGATAAAGCATGAGGCTCTGCAGAAGAGAGAGAGAGAGGTTAGATCAACCAAAGAGGCAAACCGCCTGAGACATTCCCACTCTGGGCACGAACGGGCAACTGTCCTGCCCCCTGCCGGCCCCCCCTCGGTGTGCTCAAGTGCCACGCCTCCTATACCGCGATGAGCATGGGGCTCTGACAAAAAGAGAAGACTGACCAAAATTTATATACACCACCACCGCGCGTGCTTTGATGAATCCTGCTTCGGTCCTTAAGAGAGAGAGGGGGCAGCCCGTTTGCCTTTGGCGGCGGGAGGGGGGCTGCGGGCTTTTCACCAAAGCAAAACTGCACCAAATCGCATCGTACATGATTCTCGATCTTGGTGGTGGTAGTCATATACTGTGCTCGGACAACTGATTAACCAGGCAGGCCAACCGCCCGAGACCTCCCCAGTCTGGGCGCGACCGAGCACGTGTCCTAGCCCCAGGACTGCTCCACCATAGGGGTGCTCCAGTGCCACGCCTCCCACGTCGCGATGAGCATGGGGCTCTGATGATGATGGTGGGAGGAGGGAGGAGGGAGGAGGGGGAGGAGGAGAGGAGAGGAGAACGCGGGGCGACGTCTCTTCAAAACGAGGACCCAACACCACAGGATGGTTGGGAAAAAGAGAGGGGCCGGATCAACCAAACAGGCAGGCCGCCCGAGACACCCTCCCGCTCTTCCGCGGCACGGCGCCCGGCTGCTCGTCCCCCATGAGGGCCCAGGAGCCGTGCACTGCACCGCTCCTGGGTCAGAGGAACCACAGACGGCATAAGCACAGAAACTGCTGGCGCTCCGCGCGGCTCTCTTGGGTCTGAGCTGGACCCCCCTCCCTGGCGCGCGGAGTGCGCCTGGCTGCTCGTCCCCCGGAGTGCCCAAGAGCCAAGAGCTGTGCACCGCACCACTCCTGGGTTAGAGGAACCACAAGCGGCATAAGCACAGAAACTGCTGGCGCTCCGCGCGGCTTCCTTGGGTCTGAGCTGGACCCCCCTCCCTGGCGCGCGGAGTGCGCCAGGGGCGGCGCTGCAGGCGCCGCCAGGGCGCTCCAGCGCAGATCCAAGAACTCCGCGCGGAGTGCGACAAGTTTTGACGTCTCTGTGCCGCTTTCTCTTCTGCGATGGGTCGAAGATCGACGACACGGGTCGCCCGCGGAAGGCGAGCCGTCTCCGCCGCTCTCAGACCAACGCCGGCGCGGGGGCGGCCGCGGGCGAGCGCGCGCCACCCCGCAGCTGCAGCAGGGCGGCCTGCTCCTCGCCCGGCGTCCCCGGCAGCTCCGAGCTGGAGCCCCCACCTGGCCGCGCCTCCTCCGCAGGCGCCGCGAGCTCGGCGGCCACGCCTCCAGCAGGTCTGTCGCCTGAGCACCAGGTCGGGCGTGACCCCCCTGGACGACAAAAAGCCCCAAGTACGCAAACGTAGCAGAACATTGTAAAACAAGTCGCCCCCAGATGATTTTTGGGACGACCTTTGGGCAATTCCTCCTGTAGAGGGACAGGCCCGGCTTAACCTGAGCTCCGCTTGACCGATCCCCATCACCACCGCAACGGCCTTGGCCCCCCTTGCTGATCGACCCCCCCTCTATAGATGAGGATGCAGTCTGCTCCCTGCGGGTTCCAGGGGGCCGCTCCCGAACTGGGGGGCGGGGTGGTGGGGCCGAGATGCCGTGGCCCGGCGGGGGTAGGGTTAAATCGGGCGTGTCCCCCATACAGGGGGATTTTGGGCGTAAAAGACCAATATGCAAAAAATACACCAAAATTGCAAAAACAAATATTCAAAAATTACCCTGGCGACGTACCCAACCCCTGCGCAAACGCGGGGCGCAAATAGTTTAGGACACTTTATAAGGGGGCGATGACGGAACGAGGGTTACATATGCCTGCAGACGGAATTCGGGACACTCGCAGGACACTGGCTACAGGACAAGGACTAGATAAAGCTGATTAGTTACAATCCCTGAACAACCCTGGCCACTTCGAAGGTGGGGATCTCAGATCGCAGCCCCCCAGGGATGGCGAGGCCTAATTTGGGTCCGCGCGTGGCGACACTGTGCTGGGCCCCCCAGCAGGCCTTGAAAGTGGCGACAGTTTCACAGATCGCAGCCCCCCAGGGATGGCGAGGTCTAACTTGAATCTGCGTGTGGCGTCACTGTGCTGGGCCTCCCAGCAGGCCTCGAAAGTGGCGACAATTTCACAGATCGCAGCCCCCCAGGGATGGCGAGGTCTAATTTGAATCTGCGTGTGGCGTCACTGTGCTGGGCCCCCCAGCAGGCCTTGAAAGTGGCGACAGTTTCACAGATCGCAGCCCCCCAGGGATGGCGAGGTCTAACTTGAATCTGCGGTGAGTGGCCACTGTGCTGGGCCCCCCAGCAGGCCTCGAAAGTGGCGACAGCTTCACAGATCGCAGCCCCCCAGGGATGGCGAGGTCTAATTTGAGTCCGCGGTGAGTACCCACTGTGCTGGGCCCCCCAGCAGGCCTCGAAAGTGGCGACAGCTTCACAGATCGCAGCCCGCCAGGGATGGCGAGGTCTAATTTGAGTCCGCGGTGGGACCCACTGTGCTGGGCCCCCCAGCAGGCCTCGAAAGTGGCGACAGTTTCACAGATCGCAGCCCCCCAGGGATGGCGAGGTCTAATTTAATCCGCGGTGAGTACCCACTGTGCTGGGCCCCCCAGCAGGCCTCGGAAGTGGCGACAGTTTCACAGATCGCAGCCCCCCAGGGATGGCGAGGTCTAATTTGGTCCGCGGTGAGCCCCACTGTGCTGGGCCCCCCAGCAGGCCTCGAAAGTGGCGACAGTTTCACAGATCGCAGCCCCCCAGGGATGGCGAGGTCTAATTTGAATCCGCGGTGGCCCACTGTGCTGGGCCCCCCAGCAGCCCTCGAAAGTGGCGACAGTTTCACAGATCGCAGCCCCCCAGGGATGGCGAGGTGAATCCGCGGTGGCACCCACTGTGCTGGGCCCCCCAGCAGGCCTCGAAAGTGGCGACAGTTTCACAGATCGCAGCCCCCCAGGGATGGCGAGGTCTAATTTGAATCCGCGGTGAGTGCCCACTGTGCTGGGCCCCCCAGCAGGCCTCGAAAGTGGCGACAGTTTCACAGATCGCAGCCCCCCAGGGATGGCGAGGTCTAATTTGAGCCCGCGGTGAGGACCCACTGTGCTGGGCCCCCCGGCAGCCCTCGAAAGTGGCGACAGTTTCACAGATCGCAGCCCCCCAGGGATGGCGAGGTCAAAAGCAGGGGGGAAGAGAGGGACGGGAGGGGGTGGGAAGGAGAGGCGCGATGGGAAGGAGACGCGCGAGCAGTGCTCTATTCAAAACGAGAACCCAACGCAGGAGGGTTGTGCCAAAAACATATGCAAAAAATAGTCCTCAGACTATGTTTGGATTATGTGTTTTCCCTACCTAGGCTCTGCCTAGAAGGGTTCTTACTCTCTTTGCTTAAAGGGCCGGGCAATGCTAACCGCCCCGGGCGGTTCCCCCAGTCCCCGCCCCGCGGTTCCCCCAGTCCCCTGGGAGCTTTAGCCTTAGCTTTAGCTTTAGCTTAGCTTTAGCTTTAGCTTTAGCTTTAGCTTAGCTTTAGCTTAGCTTTAGCTTAGCTTAGCTTTAGCTTAGCTTTAGCTTAGCTTTAGCTTAGCTTTAGCTTAGCTTTAGCTTAGCTTTAGCTTTAGCTTCAGCTTCGTGTTAGCTTAGCTTTAGCTTAGCTTTACTGCAGCTTTAACTTAGGCTTCAGGCGAGATGCTCCGCTTAGCTTTTAGCTTAGTGTTAGCTTAGCTTTATCTTAGCTTTTAGCTTAGCTTTAGCTTAGCTTTAGCTTAGCTCAGTTTAGCTTTAAGCTTAGGATGTAGCTTAGCTTTGAGCTTAGCTTCAGCTTAGCTTTAGCTTAAGCTTCAGCTTAGCTTTAACTTACGGCGTCTAGCTTAGCGTTAGACTTAGCTTTTAGACTTAGCTTTAGCTTAGCTTCAGCTTGCTTTTACTGTTACTACTATGCTGCTTTACACCTAGGGGGCCCCCCCCCCCTTTTCCACTCCTAGGTAGGGTCGCACTGGGATAATTGATTATGTTTGGTGTATTCTGTATTTTTCGTCGAACATCCCCGACGTAAGGGTAGGGATGGGTGAAACGCTACCGATCGCCAGCGATGGCGCGGCCCAGTGCCTGGGGGGCAGGGCCGCAACCGCCCACCACCTGTCTGGGGTCCCACAGCGGTGCGGTCACACGCACGCACACGCACACACACACACACACACGCACGCGCACGCACGCACGCACGCACGCACGCACGCACGCACGCACACACACACACACACGCACACACACACACACACACACACACACGCACACGCACGCACACGCACACGCACACGCACACGCACACGCACACGCACACGCACACGCACACGCACACGCACACCCACGCACGCACACACGCACGCACGCACGCACGCACGCACGCACGCACGCACACACAGACACACACACACACACAACGTGCGGTGACCGCGAAATCCCCAAAGGCCTCACCGCACGGTCCGCCACCGCGCGGCTTTGGGACCGTGGAGGCCCCAGTCGCTGGTATCCTCAGAGAGCGACCCGAATCCCAAGACCGTGCGGTGACCCCGAAGTCACCGCACGGTGTGGCCACCACACTGTTTGGGGACCCCCGAGACCTGGCGGCCAGCCTGGTCTCCACCGAAGGGCATACCGACCAGGTGTCCACGTCTCAACGTCTCCGCCACGGAGAGGCCCTCCTCCGCGGCATGGCCCATCCGGAGCGCCAGCGCAATCAAGGCCAGCAAGGCAGACACGCACACATAAGGCAGGCGACCTCCCATCAGAGCAGAGGGCAACGGCGCGGCAAGCCGACTGTCCGCCGTGGCCCCCGCGCCAGACGCGGAGACCGTCCAGAGCGTCGTTCCGACCAGGTGCCCCGCAAGACCCCCTAAAGACATGGCGGCGTTGAGCGTGCCCATCGCAGCACCTGAGGGGGAACGATAGGGGGGGGGAACGATGGGGGAGCGATACGCCGCCGATCGATCAACGATGGGCCCCCGATAGCGAATCCCCACGCTCCTAAGCGGAGTGCGAAATCGGACCCCTGTCGGCCCTGTCGGCGATGAATGGGGCTACTGCGGGTCGATGCATTCACTCCTGAGCATCTTCTCCCCGAAGATCCTCGTTTTCTATGTTTGAGGTCAAGATACCTCTGGTCTCTGGCGACCGTTCGGGCAGATCCTGGCTCCCCTGGGACGCTCTGGACGAGGCGCAGTCAGTCAGTGGGCCGTGCATCCTGTGGACGCGTAGGGAAAAGAACACTTCACAAGATCGGGTGGTGCGCCACATGCGTCCCTGATGCAGTCAGAGCAGGGCAGTCCGCCAAACGCGCTGCGATGATGACGACGTGATGGGGTAAAGCATGTACGAATCACAGACAAAGCTACAGCATTGCGAATACTTCTTCTGCCCATTGTGATCTCGGGAGAACAGCCCTCCTGGCGGTCGAGCACTTCCGACAACTGCAGCAAACTGGGGAAATCAAAAGGTACCGATTCCGCTACTCCCCGGGCCTCTCCTGGGGTGCGTTCTGACCAGAATTTCGAAGCGAATCCAGCGGCGGCGACGAGGGCTTCCCAGGAGGCCCCCCAAAGAGGGAAAAACGAGGGAGGGGTAGCGGTATGGGTACCTTTTTACTCCCCTGACAGACGCCCGAAAACTTCCGTTGCGCCCGAGCACCCTTGAAGGGGCCCCAGGACACACAAATAAATACACACAAATCAAAAGATTCCCCATATTTATCCATATCTTCTGGGTTTCTGTCTTCCCCCCCACTTCCCATATTTTCCCATATTTGCTTGGGGATCGACGATTAATTGTGTCTGTGTGTTTTTTCCCCTCCTGAACCCTGCATCTCCACGGGCGTCCTCAGCGAGACCACCGTCTCCAGGCACGGGCCGAGCGCGCCCAGGAGCGCAGAGGCCGCCACGGCCGGACCCACGTGCAGGAGCAGCGCGGCGGCCACCTTGGGGTCAAGTCGGGCGTGTCCCTCTACACCCTGCAAAATGCTTAAGAAATCATGGGTTAAGAAATTCATAGCCTCGGAACTTGAATAAAAACCCAACGTTTCTATTATAATCTTAAGATCTACATTGAAATATTAAGAATAATCGAGACTCTGGCCGAAAAATTAAGTTTTCTTAAGCATCGCATAAGGTGTACAGGAGGAATCCTCCAAAATTGCAACAACAACAACAACAACAAAAATCCTCCGGGGATGGTGTGTTGAGAATTTGTTTGACCATGTTAGGGTATCTTTCGAATCTGTCTCATTTTTCGCCCAACATCCGCCTGTAGGGGGACAGGCGCGACCTAAACCTTGGGCGTTGCTGCATGGGGGAGCCGAGGAGCGGGGGGCGAAGACGCGTGCCCCGTGCGCGCCCCTCTTGGGCCCCAAGGGGCCCCTGGAGGGCCCCGAGGGCACACGCAGAGTACACCGGTCTTCACGCCCCCCCCCCCCCTGCGATCTATCGCCCGGGGGCGGCCAAGAGGGGGGCGTCCAAGAGGGGGGGGTACAAATCATGGCCGGCGGCATGTGCGCGGCCCAGGTGGGGGGGCCAGGGGTTCAATGAAGTAAGAAGATGCGCTATGAAATCTGGCCCACGCCATGATATCCCCCCCCAGTCATCACCCCCCTCTTTGCCGCTCCCGAATCGCTCACCCAGATCCGTTTCTGATCGCCCCCGGGACCGAGTTCGGGCCTCAGAGGTCGAAGTCTAAGAGAAGCAATTGGACTGAAACAAATCGCGTCGCCCGCGTCTGAGGGCTTCGAGCAGCGACAAGGGGCGGGTCTGGTACGCAAGATGGCATGGCGACCTCACGCCGCGGCTTACTCGGGCCGCCAGCGTGGAGAAGAGTGCGCCTGCAGTGGAGGCCAGTCCACAAGACACCTTCCACAAGAAACCCAACCCTGAGACCCCAGGACGTCCACGAACTTTTGGTGCAGAAACGTGCCGCCTTCCACAGCAAAACCATCGAAACCCAAGAACCCCAGGGTACCCTGGAGGCAAGCAGGGTGTTTCTTGGCATGGGTCTCCACTGCACGCCTCTCCTATGACACCCCCCCTTTCGGGGGGGGCATAAGGGTGGGGTAGGGGCAGGGGTGGGGTTAGCAGACGATCGCTCAAACAGGCGAGCGTAAGAAAAGAAGAACATGTGAGCGTATGATCCCGAACCCCACCTTTGAAGGGGCTCCAGGACACACAAATAAATACACACAAATAAAAATATTCCCCATATTTTCCCATATTTTCTTGGTTTCTGTTTTCCACCCCACTTCCCATATTTTCGCATATTTTCTGGGGAATCAACGATTAATTGTGTCTGTGTGTTTTTTTCCCTCCAGAACCTTGGCCGCCGAACTTCGTGCTCTCGCGCTGCACGCAGCGCGCACGACTTCGCGCCCTCGCGCCGCCCAGCCGAGGCGCGAAGCGCGCAGAACTCCGCGCCCTCGAGGGCGCCCCTGAGCATCCAGCTGGGTCTGCTTGCAGGGGCCCAGGGACACACAAAGAAAAACACACAAATGGCAGGATTCCCAATGTTTTCCTATATTTCCTGGCTTTTTGTCTTCCCCCCCACTTCCCATATTTTCCCACATTTTCCGGGGGGTCGACGATTGATTGTGCCTGTGGTTTTGTTGTCCCTCCTGACTGTTCCCTATAGACCCACCCTGGGAGAACCCCCTCCCAAGACATCCGCTCGCTCCAATTTCTTCGATGCGTGGGCCCCGGAGGTCTGGACCACTGCCTCGCGAGGCCTGTGTGTCGTCCTGAGTCGTTGTTTGACGCTCCCGAGGCCTAGCGAGGGCCCCGAGAGGCCGAAACCTGCCAAAATCCCGCCGCTCCAATCTTTGCGGAGCGTCGGATCTCTGGGCCGCCGCGCCGCGATACCCCAGCCCTTACTCTTAGGTCGGGCATGTCCTCCTACAGGCGGATTTTGGAAGAAAAATGACAAATAGACTAAAAATAAACAAAACAAATAGAAAAATCCTCACCAGCCTGTGTTCTTGATTTGAGAATTTCTCCTGTAGAGGGACATGCCCGACTTAACCTTCGCAGCGCCGCGGCCACCAGCACCCAGAGGCCGGACTTTCGTCCTGAATCGTCTTCTGACGCTCTCAAGGCCTGGCGAGGACCCCCCGAAGGCCGAAACCTGCCACAGCCCGCCGCTCCAACGTTTCTTCTTCCTCTTTTTCTTTTTGTTTATTATTCTTATGATTCCTCCTCTTCTTCTTCCGATTCCTCTTCGTATTCCTCTTCTTCTTCTTCTTCCTCCTGGGCCTCTGCGGAGCGTCGGATCTCCGGGCCTCTGCAAACCTCCGAGGCCCTTACGCAGCGCCGCGGCCACCGGCATCCCCGGCGCCGCCGGCAGCAGGGCGGGCCCGGCGCAGTAGGCCGCGAGCACGGCGCCCGCCCCGGCCAGGGCCAGGAGCTGGCCCGCGACGGCGTGGCCGCGGGCGGGGCCTCGGCGGGCCCCGGAAGCGCAGAGCTCCGACGCGCCCAAGGACGACGACGACGACGACGACGACGACGACGACGACGCCGACGCCAACGACGACGACGCCAACTAATCACGCCGACGGCGCTTCCAAAAAATCGGAGCGCAGAGGCTCCGACGCCGCTTCCAACAAACCGGAGCGGCGGGACGTCTGCGCTCCAACCAAAAATTCCTTGGCGCGCTCCACCAAATTGGCCTCCAGGGGCCCTCGCCGAGCGCCAAAAGACTACTCAGGAGGAGGAAAAAAAACGGCCCTGGGGAATGAAGGGGCACCAGGACACACAAATAAATACACACAAATAAAAAGATTCCCCATATTTTCCCATATTTTCTGGGTTTCTGTCTTCCCCCCCACTTCCCATATTTTCCCTTATTTTCTGGGGAATGGAGGATTAATTGTGTCTGTGTGTTTCTTTTCCTCCTGAGGGAAGTGGTCTGGACCTCCGAGGCCCACGCATCGGAAAAATTGGAGCGGCCGGATGTCTGGGGACAAGGCCGCTTGTGTCTACAGGTATACCGTGTTTTGCTGGTTCCGTCGCCGATGCTTCTGGCTTGCCGATCCCCTCGCCGCCTGCTCTGCTTTTTCCCCCTCCAGCTCCGGCTCCAATGCCGGAGCCGTTGGCTCTTGGCCGCTTCAGGTGGCTGTCATGTCTGCTGCCGTGATGTCGCCGTCTTTTTGCCGATTTCTTGGGGGCCGCTACTCCAGATCTCGTAATAAAAGGGAGGGGGTCTGGACCCTCCAAGACAAGCCATTTCAGACCCCCCCCCCCGTGGGAGAACCCTCCAAAACGTCGTCCCCAGACCCCCCCAGGCCCTCCAAGACAGCCTGGAGGAGACCCCCCCCCCCCCCGAAATGAGACCCCCCCTTCCTTTATTACGAAATCTGGAGTACCATCATTGCAAGAGACACCTTCTCCGAAGCTGTGACGAAAAAGCAGCCCCGCCGTTGCCGGGGCCAACTCTAAGGGCGGGGCCCTGCACCCCGCGGCCCTGGCGCAGGAGCCGACCGCAGCGAGAGTCCGCAGGGATCGGGTCGGACCGGCACACGCATCGGGCTGCAAGACGAAGCCAGGACGAGGATACCATCGGATGCGAGGATACGTCGAGAAGCTCTGGGATCCGACGGTCCTGGAGGACATCTCAGGCGCCTCGGCCTTCTCGGAGCGTCCCAGAGCGCTCCGGAACGCTCGGGAACAGACTTAAATACCCTCGCCCCCAGAGGCCCGAGGCTCCGAAACACGCGGAGCCGCCGGCGGATCAAGGCGGCGGTACTCCAACGCGCCCCTGAGAGCAGTGGCTCCCCAGACCCCCGACGTCATGATTTTTTCATGACGCGACCCCCAAAGGTCCCGACCCATTACCTGGGACCGGCTCTTCATCCTGAGTCGTTTTTTGACGGTCCCGAGGCCCGGTGAGAGCCCCCAGAGGCCGAAAATAGCGAAAAACCTCCCGTCGTGATTTTTTCATGACCCGAGGGGGTCTGGGTCGGGAGCAGATAGCACCCTCGCCCCCGGACTGTGCCCTCGCCCCGTCCGAGGTCGGGCCCCAGAGGCCCGAGGCTCCGAGCAGAAACTCGGGGCGGCCCCGCGGCCCCTCGGTGGCCCTCCGCGCGCCCCGGGGCCGCTCTGGGAGCGGGACCCGCGGACGGCCCGCCGCCCCTATATATATATATATATATATATATATATATATATGAAGGGGCCCAAGGACACACAAATAAATACACACAAATAAAACGATTCCCCATATTTTCCCATATTTTCTGGATTGTTGTCTTCGCCCCCAGTTCCCATATTTTCCTATATTCTCTGGGGAATTGACGATTAATTGTGTCTGTGTGTTTTTCCCCTCCTGAATATATATATATATATATATATATATAATATATATATATATACATATATATATATGTATACATAGGGAGCGGCCCCGGACCTCCAAAGGGGGGGCCCTACGCCTCGACGACGCACACCGGGGCGCGGGAGGTCCGCGGCGCCGCCTCGGCAGGGAGTCGAGATCGGATCGGGCCGGCCGCGCCAGGATGCACGAGCCATGCATAGGGGGAAAACAAACCTACCTCGCTTTTGACCACCCTCGCTTCCAAGAGATACCAAACGATGCCAAATTGCAGCCTGTACTGGTCAGGCCGCTTGACGAGGAGGCGCATGGTATGGCTTGGTTTTGCCTGGAAGCGAAAGCGGGGTAGGTAATTCACGCTCTGAATGCAGGCAGTGGGCCGGCTCGGAGCCACCAGAGCATCGGAGGCGGGTCGCACCGCCTCCGGCAGAATCGGTATCGAGCCGAAGCGATCGGATCGACATGCACCCTGCCTGGAGGGTGGTCGCGAGGCGGGGACGATCGGAAGAGCGCCCCATCGAGGCAACGGAGGGCCTCCCTGGCGTATTCTTGGAGTGGGGGGGGGGGGGGCGAACGCTGGGAATCAGCTCGAGGGAGGTCTCCGTAAGAACGATCAGGGGCGATCGATCCCGATTCAAGAGGCCATTGAGCTGGATGAGGCCTGATCAAGCGGGAGGTGAAGCCGGATTCAGCGGGATGAGCGAGGTCAGACGGAATTGGCCAGGACCTTGCCGGCCAAGGCCCGTTTCCGACCACGGATACACCAGCGCCGATGCTGCATTCAACCTCCAAAGAACAGCATCCCAACGAAGGGCACTGGGCGCGTGTGAACGGGCCGCAGGACACACACACACACAAGTAAATACACACAAATAAAATGATTCTCCATCTTTTCCCACAGTTTCTGGGTTTCTGTCTTCCCCCCCCCACTTCCCATATCTTCCCACAGTTTCTGCGGAATCGAGGATTCATTGTGCCTGTGTGCTTCCTTTCCTCCTGAGCGTGCCTGAAGCGGGCTTCCGCGATGGAGAGTCTTGCTGTTGCTGCTGGCGCCCGCAGACCCCTCCCGCGCCCGCCCTCTCACTCGTACCTCCGCCACTGGAGGGTGTGCTGCGTGCTCGGCCTTGCTGGCCCCCGGGAGACCTCTCGTCGCCACGGCCAGGATGCACCCCCGGGGAGTAAGGGAGGAGGAGGGGGAGGAGGGGAGGGAGGAGGGGAGGAGGGAGGAGGGGGAGGAGGGGAGGGAGGAGGGGGAGGAGGGGAGGAGGGGAGGGAGGGGAGGAGGGAGGAGGGGAGGGAGGAGGGAGGAGGAGGAGGAGGAGGAGGAGGAGGAGGAGGAGGAGGAGGAGGAGGAGGAGGAGGAGGAGGAGGAGGAGGAGGCGGAGGAGGAGGAGGAGGAGGAGGAGGAGGAGGAGGAGGAGGAGGAGGAGGAGGAGGAGGGGGAAGCGGAGGAGGAGGAGGGGGAGGAGTTGGCCCCAACAAGCGGGACAAGACGCACCCCAGGGGGCAGAGCTTGCGCTCGCAACGGGAGGGCCGCCTCCGTCGCCAGACCGGGCCACTCCTCCGAGCCTATAGACCAGGAGCGCCGCCGCCACGGCCAGCGTGTCCGCGGAGGACGCGAGGGCAAACTCCCGCGGCCCCCAGGCCAGGCGCTCCCTCTCGCGAGGGAGGAAGCCCAAGGGGGGAAGCCCGAGAAGGGGCGGGCCTTCTCAGAGGGCCTGGGCCTCTGAGAGGCGCTCGAAGCCCTGCCCCGAGGACACCGGACACTTCTCGGCAGGCTGGGGGGCTTCGTAGGAGCCCCGCGGCCTCCCGAGGAGGCCTCCGCCTTCTTGCTCCCCCCCCCGCGCCCGCCTCCGACTCGAGCCAGGGCGGGGATTTGTACACATCGCCACCGCCTGGGAGGCCGAGCTTCGCGTGGCCCTCGGCGGGTGGTGGGCACGGACACAATTTGGCCCCCCCCCCCCGGGGCCGGGCCAGAAGATGTCCGTGTCCGCCCTGGGCCGCAGCCCCGAAGATCGACTCCCAGAGGCGGCCGGCCCTGGGCAGAAGAGAAAAAGCAGCCTGGCCATCAACGCGCAGGCCGGGGGGCCGCATCTAAAAATACTATCTATATCGTCGTCGCTGCAGAAAAATACATACCATGGGCTTCTCGCCTGCGCCAGGGCGCGATCGCATCGAAGCGCATCTATGATTTTGAGATGCGTCTTGCAGGGAGGCGGCCGGCCCTGGGCGGACGAGAAAACGCAGCCTGGCCATCAGCTGTCGAGGGCCCGCGCGGACTTCAGCGTCCGGCGCTGCACCCTCGCCCGCCCTGGCGCGCGGAGCGCGCCAGGGGGGCCCACACGTCGATGCGAGAAGCCCGCGCGGAGCTCCGAAGGTCTGTGCTTCTACCGCACCCTCGTCTTCGAGGCCTGGCAGGAGGCATCCCTGTGCATCTGCTGCTGCTCTTCGAGACGAGCGAGCGATGCCCTCAGGCGGTCCCTCACAGCCGAGGACACGGACAAAAAGTGCAGCACCGCAGCAGAAATCGCGACCGCAGCCCCGGGCCCCATCTTTCTGCGCCGTGTGCCGAGCTGGATCGATCTGTGAGGGTCCCCATGGGCCCCTGGGCCCGAGACTGGGCGAAAGCGCCCGTTGCAAAAAAAAAAACTGCAGCGCCAAGACCTGAGGGGTGCCTCTCGACAGACTCCCCGCCCTTGAACGAAGGATTGCAAAAAAGCCCTTCGTTTTTTTGCAATCCTTCGTTTTTTTGCAATCCTGGGTTTTTTTGCAATCCTGTTTTTTTTTTTTTTGTTTGCAATCCTTGGTTTTTTTTGTAATCCTGGTTTTTTTTGCAATCCTTCGCCCCGGACCTCAGGAAGATGGGCCACAACGCGCCGCAGGCCGTCTGGCCGCAGGCCGCGGCCGCCAGGGCCGCCGCCGGCAGGGCCACGAGGCAGGGCACGGCGGCCGCGGCGCCCGGCCTCGGGGCCGCCGCTGCGGCGGGCGCCGGCTGCTCCGCCTCGTCTTTTGGCGGCTCTGGGCGCTGTGCACTTGGAAGCGAGGAGGGACGCGGACCTAAGGAGCCCACAGAGGACGTGCGCGCCCACAGCTATGTGCAGGAACACGGCACCTCGACCCGCGAGACCTGCCGCGCGACACGAACATTCGCGCAATGCGAACTCTCGAAACCAGCGTGGATTCATGCACATGTACACCCTGCGAAATGCTTAAGAAATCATGGGTTAAGAAATTCATAGTCTCAGAATTTGAATAAAAACCCAACATTTCCATTCACAACTTAGGATTTACATTGAAACATTACGAATAATCGAGACTCTGGCCGAAAATTTAAGTTTTCTTAAGCATCGCCTAAGGTGTACGTCCTTCTTTCGCTCCTGAGGCGGAGGGAGGCCTCCCAGGCGGGGTCCGAGCAGGTGGGGTCCGAGGGCCGCGCCAGATCGCCGGGGCATCGGCGATGCATCGGCGGTGCATCGGCGACGCATCGTCGATGTCGGCGGTGCCTCGGCGACGTCGGCGTGAAGCAAATCGGGCTCCGCATCGAGCCGCCACTGAGATGCACCGGCGCCGCGGCGCGATCCTCCGACCCCGCCTCCCCCGACCCCATCTAGGAGGCCCAAAGAGGAATACCAGAGGACAAGGTGCCGATACCGCTACGACTGCCTCGTGCTCCCCTTCTTGGGCCGCCTCGGAGGCCATCGTCGCCACCGCCGGACTCGTCTCGGAATGCTGGCCAGAACGCACCCCAGGAGAGTTCCCCGGAGCAGCGGCATCGGTACATTGCGCTTCCCCCAGCAGCAGCAGAGGGAGATTCGCGCCCCGTGTGCGCTCCAGACGAGGGGGGGGCGGAGAACGGAGAACGGAGAGGAGCACGAGGACGAGGACGCGGGGCGGAGGACGGGAGGACCGAGGACGAGGAAGAGGGAGACTCGCGGGGGAGGGAGGACGGAGGGCAAAGAAGACGGAGGACGACGAAGAGGGATTGCAGGCGCTGCTCCGCCTTCTGGCGTGCGTCCTGCGTGCCGTCGCCCGGGTCTCCGCTGTTCGGCGGCGGGGGGAAGGCCAGGAGGCAACTCCGGGGAGGCCTTCGCACGAAGGGCTACCAGGCCAGCTTAAGGGCCCGCTCAGCTGGATTGGGCCGGAGGGAGCCGGGGGTTGGGCCAGATATTGAGCTGGATGGAGCCGGATGAAGCGGGATTCTGCTGGACTCTGATTTTTGGGACCACCGGTACACCCTGCGAAATGCTTAAGAAATCATGGGTTAAGAAATTCATAGTCTCAGAACTTGAATAAAAACCCAACGTTTCCACTAAAATCTCAAGATTTACATTGAAACGTTAAGAATAATCGAGACTCTGGCCGAAAACTTAAGTTTTCTTCAGCATCGCCCAAGGTGTATACCAGCGCCGGTGCTGTGTCTAACCTCCCAGGGCTTGCATCCCAGGGAAGGCCACGATGGCCGCGATGCCAATCCAGCAGAAGGCCATGCAGGTGGCCACGACCGCGCGGTAGCAGGCGAGGTCCGTGCGGAAGCGGAAGAGGGCCCGAAGCAGGGAGTCCTGAAGGGGCCCCAGGACACACAAATAAATACACACAAATAAAGCAAATACGCGTATTTTCCTGTATTTTCTGGGTTTTTGTCTTCCCCTCCACTCTCCGTATTTTCCCATCTTTTCCTGGGAATCGACGATTAATTGTGTCTGTGTGTTTTTTCCCCTCCTGAAGTCCAGCGCCGGGTAGAGCACCTTCGAGAAGGACAGGACCACCATCTGCAGGCGCAGCCCGGCAATGACGACGGGGCGCTGGGCCTCCCCGGTGTGGCGCGCCACGTGGCCCTTCACCTGGAGGGCAGGAACACCCCGCCCCCACGATGAGCACCGAGGCCGTGGAGGAAACGCACGCGAGGAAGGAACCGCACAGGGCGGGGCTGTCCAGGCAGCGCCCAGGGCCGCTCCGTAAGCGCAGATTGTCGGGGTCTGGGTGGTGCTTCTCCTCCCTGGACCCAAGACATCCGGCCGCTCCGATTTCTTCGACGCGTGGGCCGCGGAGGCCGGGACCACCTCTTCCCGAGGCCCGCTTCTCGTCCCGAGTCGTGTCCTGCCGCTACCGAGGCCCGGCGAGGGCCCCCGGAGGCCGAAAGCTGCCAGAATCCCGCCGCTGCCACCTTCCTGGAGCGCCGGATCTCTCTGGGGGGCACCATGCTCCAGCTGCTGCCGCCGCCCATGCCCACGAGGAGCTGCGCCGCGTAGAGGTGCCGCAGCTCCGTGGCCGCGCCGCGCACCAGGCAGCCGAGGCCGCAGAGGCCCACGCAGGCCAGCAGGGGCCAGAGGAGGCCCCTGCTGCGGGCCAGACTTCTGCCCATGTCCACCCCTCCTCCTCCTCCCCCTCCTCCTCCTCCTCCTCCTCCTCCTCCCCCTCCTCCTCCTCCTCCTCCTCCTCCTCCTGACGCCCGAGGCGCACTGGATAGGGAGAAATCTGCCCCCCGGAGGCTCGATGTTGCCCATATCCAGTGTTACGTTGCTCCCATCGAGACTTCTGCCCATGTCCACTTGCGATTCGGGTGCGCGCGCTTTGTTCGAGGCGCGTCAAGCCCGACTCACACCGAATTCACTAATTCCTCCAAACTGTGTAAACACCCTGTCCTCTGTACCCTCTCCTATACAACTGCTTCAGAACAGAGGGGCAGTGTATTCCAAACTGCAGTGTGGAGTTTCGGGCTCCCTCTCCCAGACACCCGAGGCGCACTGGATAGGGAGAAACTTGCCCCCTGGAGGCTCGATGTTGCCCATATCCAGTGTTATGTTGCTCCCATCGAGACTTCTGCCCATGTCCGAGCACATCCCAGAAATAATGCCGAGCACCGGGAGCAAAGTGCCGAACGAGTGTCGAAACAGTGTCGGACGAGTGTCCCCCAGGGCCCGACACGTGAAAACCCTCGAGTTTCGGTACTTGTTTGGTGCTCGAAATTCTTTCTGGCGATCAAGGCTAAAGTAGGTTGGAACATCATAAATCCAGTGCGCCTCGGCCTTGTTGCGCCCGTGCCAAGAAAGCCCGAGACGCCCTGGATATGCGTATAAATCTTGCCCGCACCTGCGGTCGACCCAGCGGCCGTACAGCGGCGAGAGGAGCAGGGCGCCCGCCGCCCGGCAGAAGCCGAAGACCCCGACGTCGAAGGGGCTGGCGCCGAGCTCGAGAAAGAAAAACCTCTTGATGGGCCGATGTTCCACAACCGCTACCAATATGTAGAATGGGGAGGAGGAGGAGGAGGAGGAGGAGGAGGAGGAGGAGGAGGAGGAGGAGGAGGACCTCCTCATCCTCCCTTCTCCCCCGTCCTGGCTACGGTAGCGGTGGTGGAAAGCTGGCCCATCGACCTCGCCATGGCCCCGGACTCCCAGAGCTCCGAGCTGCTCCCCAAAAAAATTGGAGGGCGGCGGGACTTGGCTTTCGGCCTCCAGGGGTCCAGGGGCCCTCGCCCGGCCTCAGGGCCGTCAAAACACGACTCAGGACGAAGAACTTGACTACCTACCAGACCACCCCAACCCAACCCGAAGACCCGAATTTCGGGTTGGGGGGGGGCAAGGGTTCCATACGTGTTTTTTCGATGGTTCCCGACCCCCCCCCAACTGGAATTCGAGGGTAAATTTGAGCCTTCGGGTTGGGTTGGGGTGGTTTGGTGGGTGGTGAGAACTGCCCTCGCTCGGGGAAGTGGTCCAGACCTCCGGGACCCGCGCATCGAAGAAGTGGGAGCGGCCGGAGGTATGGGTCGCCACCGCTCGGCCGTCCGTTCCCCGCAAGTGTGTCGACACCGTGCGCGCATCCTCTCGCAAGATTGAAGGGGCCCTGGGACACACAAATAAATACACCCTGCGAAATGCTTAAGAAATCATGGGTTAAGAAATTCATAGTCTCAGAACTTGAGTAGAAGCCCAGAATTTCCATCGAAATCTTAGGATGCACATGGAAACATTAAGAATAATCGAGACTCTGGCCGAAAACTTGGGTTTTCTTAACCATCGCCTAAGGTGTACACACGAATAAAAGAATCCCCCTATATTTTCCCATATTTCCCGGGCTTCTGTCTTCCCGCCCACTTCCCATATCTCCCCACATTTTCTGGGACATCGCAGATTAATTCATTGTGTCCGTGTGTTTCTCCTCCTCCTGCAAGGTGGCCCAAGGCTCCCCGAGGAAGTGCACACGCCCGAGAGCGATGCCCGGGCACGTGATCACCGGCCCGTGGATCGAGCCGCCGAAGTCCGACATCCACAGCGCCAGCATGGGCCCGCGGAAGCGCCGATCGCGCGCCTGGTGGAGCAGACGACGGCACAAGGGTCACGCCTCGGGGACCCGCGCGGACCCGAGAGCAGTAACGACTACGCCTTTTCTTGGTGTTCCCCAAACGTGGTGGTGAGAACACCCGGTGGTGAGTTTTGGGCGATTGGGGTAATGGTTTTCGAGCGCTGGCTGGCCCAGGAAACGCAAAACCTCGTGGCGACCGCGTGTCCCCAAACCCGGTGGTGACCCAAAATCATTTTTTGGGGGAATCGGGGTCACCACCGGGTGTCTCACCACCTGGTTTGGAGACCACCAATTTTCTCTTCTCCGAGAAAAACCACTTCGCGGATCGAATCGGCATGGTGGGGGCTCTATCAACCCCGTGAGCCCGTCCCCGGGTGGCTTTCGGGCCACAACGTGGGCCTCCGGCGCCCGTTCTCGACGGCCCTGGCACCCCTGCAGAGCTCCCCGCGAGGCGCGGCCGCGGTGGAGCATCCGGGGCTGGGAAGCCATGGGAAACCGACGAGATCGGAAGATGGCGACGACGATCCCAGACCCCCTCGGGTCATGAAAAAATCACGACGGGAGGTTTTTCGCCATTTTCGGCCTCTGGGGGCTCTCACCGGGCCTCGGGACCGTCAAAAAACGACTCAGGATGAAAAACCGGTCCCGGGGAAGGGGTCCGGACCTCTGGGGGTCGCGTCATGAAAAAATCATGACGTCGGGGGTCTGGGATGATGGTGACGGTGAGGGTGACTCTGATGATGATGTTGCTGCTGCTGATGACGATGATGGTGATGATGATGGTGGCGACTACTATGATGGTGATGGTGATGGTGATGATGATGCTGCTGATGATGATGGTGATGATGGCGACGATTACTATGATAATAATGGTGATGGTGATGGTGATGATGGTGGTAATGGTGATGTTGGTGGATGTGATGGTGATGGTGATGATGATGGCGGTGGAAATTCGGATGATGCTGATGATGATGATGATGATGGGCATGAAGAAGATGAAGATGATAATGAAGGTGATCGTGACGAAAATGGTGATGATGAGAATGATGATGATGATGATGGTGGTGATCGTGATGGTAATGGTGATGAAGATGGTGATGATTCTGGTGATGACGATGGTGATGATGATGACGGTCATGATCATGATGATGCTGATGAAGATGATAATGATGATGGTGCTGGTGGTGACGATAATGACGATGATGGTATTGCTGATGATGATCATGACGATGCTGATGATGATGCTGATGATGACGATGACAGTGATGATGGTGAGGATGATGAGGGTACTTATTATGATGGTGATGGTGATGCTGGTGATGATTATGATGATGATGGTGATGGTGATGGCAATGACGAATAATATACTGATGATGTTAATGATGACGATGATGATGATGTTGATGATGATGCTGATGCTGATGATGATGATGATGCTGGTGATCGTGATGGTGATGAACATGGGAATGGTCATGACGATGATGATGCTGATAATGATGATGATGATGATGATGATGATGATGATGATGATGCTACTGCTGCTGATGATGATGATGATGGTGATGGTGCTGCTGGTGATGATGGTGCTGCTGGTGCTGATGCTGATGCTGATGCTGCTGATGAGGATAATGATTTGTGTGATGGTGAAGGTGATGATGATGGTGGTGATGGTGATGGTGATGATGACGACGATGCTGATAATGATGATGATGATGATGATGATGAGGATCATGATCATGATCATGATCATGATGATGATAAGGATGAGGATGAGGATGATGATGATGATGATGATGATGATGACGATGAGTATGCTTATGATGATGCTGATGATGATGGCGATGACGATGACGATGACGATGACGACGATGACGATGACGATGATGATGATGATGATGATGATGATGATGATGATGATGATGATGATGCTGATGGTGCTGACGATGTTGATGATGATGATGACGTTGATACACGATGGTGGTGATGGCGCGCCAGCAGCTCGATCAGCGCCCAGTGCTGCCCCCCCGCCGCGAGGCAGCCGGCGCCGGCCGCCCACGAGGCGCGGGGGCACCGCGGGCAGCCTGCGAAGGCGGGCGCCGCGCCGCCCTGCCCCGCCCGCCCCGCGGCGGCGCCTCCGGCGGCGCCTCCGCGGGCATGTCGGGTCGGGCGAAAGGGGGGGATAACAAAGGGGCCCAGATGGTCTGGTACCGGAAACTTTCGGTAGCGATTTCGACGCACCCCGAATTTCGGTAGCGACCGGATCTTCGTTTGAGGGCGTTGAAATAGCGGATTTCAGAACGGTCTGATACCGGTATTGGGCGCTACAGTTCGGTATTTCGGTAGCGACCGATCTCTGCGGAGCGCTACCGGAAATTTTCGGTAGCGGACCATCAGGGGGGGGTTTGAGAATCAGCTCACGTAGCTGATTCTCCCGGCGCCTCCCGGCGCCGGAGGCGGCGATGTGTATCGAGGAAGGGGCCCCTCGCGAGGAGGCCGAAACGAGCTCTGCATGCAGCAGATTTCGTGACCCCCCCTTTCCCAATCCCCCCCCTGTCGCCCGGCCCGAGCATGGGCCTCCCGCCGCTGCCCGGGCCCCTCGGGGAGCTCCACGGGCACGGGGCCGAGGAGCGAAGCACGGCGCGAGCGTGCGGTCAAGGGGCGCTGGCCGCAGGGAGGGTTTTCTCGGGCGCGAACAATGCTGCTCGAGGAGTGGGCCCCTCGGTGAGGCCGAAACCAGCTGCAGGCAGCAAGTTTCGTAACCCCCCCTTTCCCAATCCCCCCCCGTCGCCCGGCCCGAGCATGGGCCTCCGGCCGCTGCCCGGGCCCCTCGGGGAGCTCCACGGGCACGGGGTCGACGAACGAAGCACGGCGCGAAAACGTGCGGTCCAAGGGCGCTGGCCGAAGGGAGGGCTTGTTCGGGTGCGGCCCATGCTGCTCGCGGTGCCTGCGGTCGTTTCCGTGGCTGTTACTCTCCAGCGCTCCCCGTGCAAACCCGGCGCGCGTGGGGCCCCAGAACGGGCCTTCGTTCCAGATTTGGCGCTCCATCCGAAGTTTGGGGGTGAGTCGGGTTCGGTTCCGTGCTCGTGACGCGCGTGCGGGCGGGGCGAAGCTGCGTGGGCGCGCGAGAGGAATGACCCCGCCGTCGCTAGGGCGATCCCGATGCAATGTACCGCTTCTCCGCCCCCGGTGGGCGCGCCCTGGCCTGGGGTGTCCCGCCGTGGTGTCCTATGGTGTCCCATTGGTGTCCCGTCGGTGTTCCGTCGGCGGTGGGCGGGCAGTTCCCAGGGACGACCCGTCTTGTAATCGACAGTGACGTCGACATTGGAATCGATAATGAGATTGCTAACGTGTAATGGATAGTGGGATCAAAAGTGAAATCGATAGTAAGGTTGATTGTGGCATCGGTTGTGAGATCGATGGCGAGTTCAATCGAGGAAACGATGGTGAGATCGATCGTGAAATCGATAGTCAGATCGATAGAGATCTCCGGTGAGATCTATAGTGGGATCGACCGAGTATGATCGATCCTGTGATGTCAATAGTTGGATCGATCGAGCGAGATCGAACGCGGGGACGATCGTGACATTACGTTGCAGCACAACATCGCCATCACGCGTCGTCGCTAACTCGAGGGCGCGCCACAAGAATCGCCATCATCAAACCCATCGCAGTTGCCAGCAGCTGGTTCTTTCCCCCCACCCCCCAACCTCCTTATCACCAGAAGGGTGGTCATATAGGTGTTTAGCGTTCCCTCTGGCAACAGCATGACTGTAAACTCTCGGAGGAGGGAGGGGGGAGGAGGGATGGAGGGAGGAGGGAGGGAGGGAGGAGGAGGAGGAGGAGGAAGGGAGGGGAGGAGGGAGGAGGGAGAGGAGGAGAGAGGAGGGAGGAAGGGAGGGAGGGAGGGGGGAGGGAGGGAGGGAGGAGGAGGAGGAGGAGGAGGAGGAGGAGGAGGAGAGAGGCAGAGGGAAGAGGGTCGCCTGCGCAATGCTTGCTCCTCGAACGATGGGAGGCAACAAGGGCGGGCCCCGAGGCCGTGTGAGGGCTGCTCGAGCCAGAGGGCGCGGTGGAGCCGTGCCGGAAGGGGCATCGCGTGGAGAGCGGGCGCTTCTGATATCCGGCGGCATCCTCCTCCTCCTCCTCCTCCTCCTCCTCCTCCTCCTCCTCCTTTCCCTCCGCCTCTTTGCCCTCCTCCTCCTCCTCTTCCTCCTCCTCCTCCTCCTCCTCCTCCTCCTGGAGAGCGGAAGGGATGGGAAGGGCGGCATCCCGGGATACCGGGCCCTGCTCTCAGACCCGGGATGCCGCTTCGGGGAAGTCCGGGGGGAGGTTCGGGCACCAGGAGAAGACGTGTGAGAAGCAAAAGCCGCCTTTGACAGCTAGGCCCTTTCTCTCTATGTACAGCATGCAGGGGGGCAGCTCAGGACACTTCATCAAGCCAACTCGGATCACCTTGGCGTTTGTCCTATCTGGATCATCCTGCCCATGCGCTCGAAGTGTGGGCGTCCCCCCCCCCCCGCCAAGGATAGACGGCCCGTGACAAATGGAACGAGCGGCGCGACTTGTACGTAGCAGGGCTGAACCTAAACGGTGTTGTCCGTTTTCCGTTTTGTTTTCGTTGTCCCTCGTTGTGTCTTCGCTCCGCCTTTACCGCTAAACGAAATCGAAACGAAAACGGCCCACGAAATCGCCAAACCACCGTTGAGGTCCAGCCCTGGTACGTAGACCTCCGCGCTCTGCCACTCTGGCACGCCAACGCCGAGCACTTGGCACTCAAAATGGCGCGACGAGCTTCGGCGCGAGCGCGGAACCGTGCAGAGGGCAACGAGGCTCGAGTCGAGGAGCTGGAGACGTTCTGGCGCAGACCTCACCTGCTCTGCGCCTCGCACGCGAGCCAGGCTCTCGGGTCGGTGGGGAGCATGGCGCCTGCTGCGTGCTCCGTCTTCTGCCTTCTGGGTCCCTCGCTGGGCCCTGGGACCTGGGACTGTCGTGCAACGACTCTGGATGAGTGCCCGATGCTGGGGACAGCCCTGGGATTTCAGGAACCAGCTCCCCGAGGACACGCTGCCCCCCCGAGTAGTCCCAGCCGGCCTCAACAGGCCCCCCGAATCCTCCAGGGCGGCCTCAACACCCTGGCGCCGCCTCTGGTGCTGAAACCGCCCCCGACTTGGGAACCTGTTGAGAGGCCATGCGGGACTACCTGACGGGGCTGTCTGTGCGCAACCCACAGCCTCATTCTGACATCCGAGGTCTCGAACAAGTTGAAACTTCGCGCAAAATCAGGACCGGACCCCGGACCCCATCAGTCTGCGTTTTTTTTCCGAACTGGATCGATCTGTGAGGGTCGTGGGGCCCGAAGCCGCGCGAAAACGCCAAGCTCGACATAGCACGCCAGCATGTCGTTATATGGATCTCTCCAGCTCTCTCTGCCGTCTAAAGCGGAGCGCGCCCAGAGCAGGACAGGGCCACACGAAAGCTTGACATCGACAGTGTAGCTCCGCACGCGTGTAAACTGCCCCTAGCGAGCAAGAACACACCAAAGCCCCTGGACTGGGTCGGGCATGCCCTCCTGCGGGCGGAGCCCAGAAGACTCACGAAACACCGTCCCCAGACAGCCGGTCAGTAGCCACACCGTGAGAAAGCGCGAAGCAACGTCACCACACCATCTTACCATTCCCGGATCGTCCTCCTGCGGGCGGCGGGGCATCGACGGTGCAGCCTCAGCGCCCCTCAAACGGGGACTCCACTAACGGGTACTTTGGCCAGTGGCCCAGCGAACCCAACCCTTCCCGATGTGGGCAAAGCTGCAATGCAAGAAAAAGGCCCTAAAGTGGCAACTTTCGGCAAAAATTCAAAGTACCCGTTAGTAAGTACCCGTTACGGTGCCGTTGACAGCCCCTCCTCTTCTCGCGGCCGGCTCGGCGCCCGCCCTCCGTGGGGGGGGGCGCTGCAGCGGCGGCGGCCCGGAAGGCGCTCGGGGAGAGCGGCGGCGCGCCTCTTTCCCTCGGGGCACGGGCGGGGGCTCGGCGCCCTCCCGGAGGGCGCCGCGCTCCTCCGGGCCGCCGCTGGCGGAGGGCGCGGCGGCGGGACGCCTGGAGGGGGGGGGGGGGGGGGCGAGGGGGGGGGGGCAGGGCAGCGAGGGAAGAGGCGGGGGTCGGGGCGCCGGGCGAGGAGGAGAGGGGAGGCGGCGGAGGGGACGGAGATGGAGGGGGGGAGGGGTGCGAAAGGGGAGGAGGAGGAGGAGGAGGAGGAGGAGGAGGAGGAGGAGGAGGAGGAGGAGGAGGAGGAGGAGGACGGATGCGGAGCACGAGGATGCTGATAGGGGAGGGCATGGTAGGATGGAGGACTGAAGGGAGGAGCGAAGGGAGCAGGAAAGGGAGGAGGAGGAGGAGGAGGAAGAGGAGGGGTGTTTGGTACTCCGCTGGCCAGCGCCACCCAGACAGGCATGTAAACCACCCCCGGCTGCACGGCAAGGCGAGGGAGGAGGAGAGGAAAAAAGGGAACAGAGCGCCTGCCAGCTCAGCCGCCAGCACAGGCGCGGTGGCCCTCAGGGTCCGCGGGAAGCGCTCCCGACCCCGTGCCGCCACCAGGGCACGCAGCGACACCTGCATCGCCGCCTCGAGGGTCCGCGGGGGCAGCCCCCGGCCCAGTGCCTTCGCCATGGCACACAGGGACATCATGACCACCGTGTCCTGCAGAAGCTCCTTCAAGGCCCGCGCGGACAGCACCCGCCCCCGTACCACCACGGCGGCACATACTCCCCAAGGTAGAATGTGCGCCCTGGGCCCTACCCAACAGGGGGGGGGGCTCTGCGCACTGGCCTCCCCTCCCTTGCGGCGGGGAGCGCTAAGAAAGTTTTGTCCAGGGGTCCCCAACGTCTTGGGTCTGGCCCGGGGCTCCACTTTCACCTTGCCGAACCTGTTGTGAGCCCGTGGGGACAGCCCCCGACTCCGTATCCTCTTGTCGGCACATGCCCCCAGTAGCAATCAAGGAGACCACAACTTCACCTTTGCAAGGTCGATCTCCTTGTAAATCTGTGGAGACAGCCCCCGGTTCCGTGCCTTCCAGTAGACGCGCAGACACATACTCTCCGTCCCAACTGGTTCAATCAACCTCCTATGCCGCACACTTGGCACTCCTATGCCGCACACTCGATTCAGGCAAAATACATCTCGTCAACTTACTGCGAATATGTCGTTCATGGCCCAACATGCCAGCGCACTGGCTTGCCAATCCTCTGATGTAATGTTCCCCGACAGAACCGCGTCTGAACCAGGCGTGGATCTGCAGGTCCGAGAAATACCCTAGGAGATGGGACTCGTGGATCGGGATCCCCGATATCGCCAACGATCTGAACATATCCTTTTGACAATGCCACCCAAGCGCGCCGTCTTCAAGGAAGATTTCAGTTTCCTTCCGCTGGCGCTGCACCCACATCGATATCAATGAAAGGCCGAACAACTGAACAAATCCCAATATACACCGCGGACATATGAACCCGTCTTTGATATTCCTTAGCAGTTGGGCGCGTAGGTCGCAAACGCGTGGGCTCTTCATCAGAGGCTGCCAGAACAACGTTCGCCAAATGCTTCCTCACCGTACGCCCGATGGTCCTGGCAGGCTCTACCGAGCCCACCGACACCTTGTCAACAGCCACTTCCTTGGCCCAAGACTCCGCAGCTTCGTCCGCCATGATCTTCTGAGCATCCTGAATAGACTGGTGGCTCTCTATCATGACCAGATAGAACCAATCCCATTACCCGTTGATGGAAGAGCCCAACTTTTGCCAAAGATCGATCCAAGGCCAGGCTACAGGCGCCGTGCGCTAACGACGTGGAAGAAAATCTGGTGCCGGGGACACCAAACGCGCACAAAACGAATGTAGGAAATCACGGGCCACGTGCCCCTACATTTCAAACATTGTAATGTACCGAACGAAAACTCCACAGCGAACTGTATGATAGGGGGGACCACGATTTTTTCTGCGTTTTGCGTTGGCCACGTGCCCGTGCCACATACAATGCCGAAACCTACCACGCCGTTCTGTGGAACACCGCTAGCCCGTCTACGGTCGATGCTTGTCGTCGGAAGACCTCCTTGTTCTCCAGGGCTCCAGGGAGTTATGGAACCTGGGGATGCCGAGGCCTGGAGGGTGGAGGAGGAAGAGGAGGAGGAGGAGGAAGGAGGAGGAAGAGGAGGAGAGATTGGACTGCGTTTGGAGGTTCAGGGGGAGTGGGGACGCTTGGACAGGAGAATTGAGGTCTGAGAAGCTCGAGGATGCTCGAGGTCAGGGAAAGAGGAGGAAGGTCGATGGACGAGGCGGGGGTGGTGATCTTCAAGGTCTTGAAGGTGTCTCAACACAACTGTGGGTACGAAGGGATGGACCAACCAGAGCGAACCCAGGGTGCAACGACGCTGAAACACACGCCACACACACACGCACTCACACACAAACGCAACACACACACACACACAAACACAACACACACAAACACACACACACACACACACACACACACACACACACACACGCGCACAAACACACACACACACACACGCGCGCACAAACACACACACACACATACACACACACACCCTCCGTCCTCAGTCCACTCCAGTCCCTCCAAGTATTCCTCTTCCGCTGCTGGGGGCGAGCGCCTGAATGACGGGGGCCCCATGGGCGTGCCGTGCAATTCGGCAGAGGAATCGCCGAACACCGTCACTGCAACACAAAAAAAACACCACGGCGCAGCAGCACAAAATTTAACCAACTGCTCGGCGAGAGCCCCCTTTCCGAACAGGTGCCGCCCTCCACCGCTGCCGTTGCGACGGGCGCAGCTGCTGCCACTCTGCGGGTTCCAAATCGCCTGCCACCGCGCTCGCAACAGCCGGTGCGCGCTATAAGCCTGGCTCTCGCGAGGCAATCTGCTCAGAACAATTTTTTCACCAACGCGAACACCCACCAACAACGACAGAATCGAATAGATCCGCTTCCCCTCAAGGGAGCTAGAACTGATCCAAGTGAAAAAGCCACGATCCTGTTCCTGCTCGCTGTAGGCGCGGCCTTGGCGGACAAATCCTGTCCACCATGCAGAGGTCTGGCGCTAACAGTAGGGGCCGCCGGTGACAATTACTGCCCAGACGAACGGTCGAAGAATGTGGCCCGCAAATCGGGGAACTAAGCCATGCCCCGCAAATCAGAAATGGCCCAGGGCTCGGGCAAGACTAAAGAAAATCCATTGGGCGGAAAGTCGGGCGGCCACGGCGGTACGAATGCACCCACAAAACCGTATCAGCGCCGCGCCGGGAGCAAGGCGAGGTGAGGGGAGCAGAGGACGAGGAGGGTGGGCAAACGAGGCACTGTGGTCATGCGCCCGCATGACATGGCTATGCGACCGCAGACAATTCGCCTACACAGTTTCGAATCCAACTAAACTACGGATGAGGAGGGGGAGGAGGAGGAGGAGGAGGAGGAGCGCAGCGTAGAGGAAGGAGAAGGAGGAGGAAGAGGCGGAGGAAGGAGGAATGAAGGGATAAACAAAACGGCTGGCGAAATCAGTACAAGAACGTGGACAGCGCACCAAACCACGGCGTAGGCGAAGGCCACCAAGCAGCCCGGACAAAATTGATGATTAGCATGCAGAGGCAGTGGAGAGAAGAAGAAAAATGGCAATAATAATAAACAGAGACCGCGAGAGCTAAGAGGTGCTGGTAAACGTTCGTGATGGTCATGTGGAGGGAGAGGATGCAACCCAGACGGAGGCGACTACGCGCTTGAGCGGCGAATCCCTGCCCACCGCCTCTGCCATGGCTTGAAACCACGCGTCGCTCGCAACTCTCGCTCGCCCATTGCGGGCGGCATTGACGCCGATGGATGTTGCATGAAGACGCAAGGCTCCAATCGCCAATTGAGAAATGTCTGATACTCCATCGAGGCGGACAACATCCTCGGGACGGTCCTCGAAAAGCGCCACTTCCAATCGGAGTCGTGTCGATCTCGCCACCACCAGACAATTGTCGTAGTGCCGCATGGAGTCGCGACTTGCTCGGTAGGCAAAACAACAATAGACTGCGCGGGGGCTGGAAGCCGTGCAGGTCCGGCCGCCCAGTGCTGCTTTGAGAGTAGCCGCCCGCCCGCACGAGAGCACCACGCCCGACACGACGGCCAGGAAGGAGGGGAAGCCACCACCTGTCCAGCCGACGGCGCAAGTTAAAGATGTATTTCAGAGGCGGCCAATGGCTTCATGATCTGGCTGCATCTCATGTGCATATCGGGAGAAGGGCGGAAGTCGAACCCTGTAAAAAACTGTCCGCCCTGGTGCGCCTGGCGCCGGCCAAGGCGATCAGCTTTAGCTGCGCCTTCTGAAAGCAAGCGAAACATATGCCAATGAGCCACGTGAGCCATGTAGCCGTCCGATCCAGAGACTGCAGCAGGGCCTGTTTTGTCGGAGGGGCATGGCCAACGACGGCGGACCTGGAGACCCCCGATGGCCACGTCCTCCTACAGGATCCTACACCTGGCGCCGAGAGCAGCGGCCTTCATACTCGGCATATCCGCGGGCGAGCCCAAACTGCGCAGATTCTGCATGAGCGGGGAGGACGTCCATCCTCGAGCGCCAGCGAGAGCGTGTTCACCAGTCGCAGCTCCTCCTGCTTCCAGGTCGGCGGTAGCTTTCCCAGCTGCGCGAGGCAGCCGGCCAGCGGGAGCACCCGCGCGATGTGGAGCGCGGTGAGCGCGACGAGCGTGCCGCGTCCGATGCCCTTCCACACCTGTGCCCTCACGTGCATACTGTGCATATTGCGGAAGGCGACCTTCCAGGCCTTCGCGGCGCGGGTAGGGCCGACGAGGACGCCGAGGTACTTTGCGCGCCCGGCGATGCTAAAAGCGCCCCATGCACGAGTTTCCGCGGCGACGGCGGCCTGAATCTCGTCGCTCCCGCGCAGGGACAGCGGCAAGATCGCTGATTTCCTGCCGCGAACCTTCAGGCAGCAAACGAACTCGCACTCGCCAGAAATGCCCCCCAACCGCCTGGACTCTGGCTGTCGCTGCAGGACGAGCGCGAGGTCACCCGCGTAGGCCCTGAAATGAACCTCTGGCGACAGGCGCCGGACTAGACGAAGCAAGGCGTCTGAGATTATTGAAAAGAGAAGCGGCTGTAGCGGGCATCTCTGTCTGACCCCCGCAGTGGCTCCGAACCTGGGGCCTGTGGCGCCGCGGATAGAGAGGACGCAGAAGATGTTGTCGTACAACACAAGCACAAGCCGCCGCATGTAGAGCGGCCATCCTCGTGTCTCCAAGACGCGCTGGATGACATACTGGCTGAGGCTGGGGAATACCGCCCCGAAATCCAGGAAACCTGCGACCAGGTTGTCCTGGGAGAGGGCGGGGTCCAGCATGGCCGCCTCGACGCCCATTGCCTCGACAATCGTGGGGCGGCCGCTCAGGAGCCCACGCTGCTCCAGTGAAATCACGGGATCCACGATGGGCTCGATGTGAAGGCGCCGGCGCACGGCAGTGCCCAAGATGCGGTTGTCGTTGTTGGTGGTGCTGGCGGGCCACAGCGCCATCCCGGAGCGTGGACGGTACCTCCTCGGATACAAGTAAAGAGACCATGAGGTTTACATTGAAGGACACTCATTCCGCCTTCATTCGGTCCACCTGGTCGGGGGAACCATCTCCTGGTGGGCCGCCTCGAAGACGTCCGCCGCGAGGTCCGCGATGCTTCGCCAAATCTTGACTGGCATGCCATCGCGGCCCGGTGCGCTGTTCTTCGCGAGCAAAGTGGCCTCCCCGAGCGTGCCTCGAGGGCCTGCGGAGGGGGGGAGGTGGTCCTGGTTGTCGCAGGTAGGCGATGGGCCTTTTCTCGCAGCCACGTCGCCATTATCCCCTCGTCTGCGTCGCGCCGACGAAGGTTACTCGATCCCAACGCTCCCGGAACAGCCGCGGCATTTCCTGGGGGTCAGTGGTGGCCTCGCCCGACGGCGCGTCGATGGCTAATCGCTGGCAGCTGCGGCCGGGGGCGAGGCGGCACACCGGATGCCGATTCCTAGGCCGCCGCGCCGCTTGGGCGGGGTCCAAGTCACGAAGGTCATCATGCAAACTAGTGAACTCCTGCATAGTGCAGTTCCAGTGGAAGTTCATAGTGTGACAGCGCGCCCGGGCCAGCCGTGGGCCGACCGGCGAGAAGAAGTCGCACGGATTCCTCACCAAGTCGCGAAGCAGCGGGTAACGCTCCAGGCAACGTGACACACGTTCAGGAACGCCCGTCTCCGAAGCTCGGAGGAACTTCATAGAAACACCGATGCGGTCCTCGAGAGCCTCAGCTTGCGGCGTCTCACCAACCGAAGCGGACAGCGCCCGCTCGGCGAGCCGCATAGCCTCCTGGAGTACCCGTACCCGCAGCTCGGAGATGGCCGAAGCGCGAAGCGCTAAGGCCGTCGCGGAGGGTGGCATGCCAAGCCAAGAATACCTGCCGATGCCAATCTAGGTGGGCCAGCACCTGGTCACAGATAGGCCGCCCCGCGCCACCGCTGACCTCCGGGAGGCAGTGGCGGGAGAGTGCGGGGCGCCAATTGAGAGCAATGCACGAGAAGAGCTTGTCCAGATACTCCGTGTCGTACTGGTTGAAATGTACGCGGTCGAGGCGAGACCGGGAGTTGGGGGCGTCGCAGGTGGGTTCAGGCTGGTAGAGCTCACGGAAACCAAATGGCACTCCAAGTAGGTCGCGCCCGCTG